AATCATCATATTAGAATGATAGAATGATTTCTGAAGGATCATGTGACACTGAAGACTGGAGTAATGATGCTGAAAATCCAGCTTTGCTTCACAGGAATAAATTACATTTTAAAATATATTAAAATATGAACAAATTATTTTAAATTGTAGTAATATTCCACAATATTACTGTTTATTGTACTATTTTTTTATCTAATAAATGCAGCCTTGGCGAGAATAAGAGACTTTTTTCAACAACATTAAAAATCTTACCGACCCTTTGAACGGTACAAAAAGTCTGACAAAAAATTAATAATAGATGGATAAATAACATGTTTACCATGTATTTTGAAGTAACGCCTAATAAAGGTTTGAATGTAAACTATGATGTTTAACATTAATTTTTCGGCCATTAATATTCAGTATCAACTGATAAAATCACAAATATCAGCCAGTAACTAATATGTTAAAATAAATGTGCATCCGTAATGTAAAGATCTTGTTGGCATTATCTAATTGCATTCTGTCAGATTCATGGAGATGTTTCTCAGTGCTTGTATGCTGTAATCATCCTAAGCATGTGTGCATCTTGAAAGTCTCCCCAAATGTTTGTTTCCCCATGAGGCTCCTGCTGTACTCACAAACTTCAGATGTTTTCCATTGCAGTTGCTTCAAATGAAAAGGGAAGGAAAGTTTATTGAGGGGTTTCAATCTACAGCCTGCATCAGATTATAGTCGAACCCAGAGCCCTTCACCTTCATGGTCATCCTGTTGTGCTCTTTTTAGAGTAGCAGGGGTTCATGCTGAGCTTTTGAGACAATTTATATCTTAAGGCTTCTTAAATCTTAAAAACTGTGTGCCTTAAATAGCCATTCAGTAGGTTGAGCAGTTTGACTGCTAAACATTTAGAATAAAACGTTGATGTTACGGGTTAACGAAGATTGCATGCGTCTATGAAAAATCTGTGCTGCCATCACAGCATATTTATTTATTTATTTGTTTATTGCCTGCAGCATTTCAAGAAACAAAGACGACTGATTCCTGAGAAGACAGTATGGAAGTACTTTGTTCAGCTGTGTAGCGCACTGGAGCACATGCACTCCCGCCGCGTCATGCACAGAGGTACACACACACACACACACACACACACACACGTCTTCTGACATGTACATGTAGAAACAGACTTTAAAGGGGATATATTCTACTTCTATTACATATTTTATTTTTTCTGTCCATTTTTTCCCCTTTCACTGACACTTAAAGAAATATGTCACCTATTGGAGTTTCTTTCTTCATTGGAACATATTTAGAGAAATGTAGCATTACATCACTTGCTCACCAGTGGATCCTCTGCAGTGAATGGGTGCCGTCAGAATGAGAGTAAACAGCTGATAAAAACAAAACGGTAATCTACACAACTTTAGTTCATCAATTACCTTTAGTGAAGCCAAAAGCTGCATGTTTGTCAGAAACAAATTCATAATTAAGGTGTTTTAATTTTGAACAGTCACTTCTGGCCAAAAATACAAATCAAAATATATGTCTGTAATCCATTAAAATGCTTCCCCCAATGAAGTCCATGCCCTGTTGTCCTCTCACATCAAAGTCCACCGACAAACTAGTTTAAAACCATTTGGACTGTTTTCACTCGTAAACGGTGCTTGATCTGTGCATATTTCTCTCCTGATTCAGACAAGATGACTTTTTCACTGGAGAAAGCAATATTATGAATAGATTTCTTTATATTTTTGCTAAAAGCAATGGTTTAAGGTTAAAAACATCTAAATGATGGATTTATTTCTTACAAACATGCAGCTTTTCACTTCTCAAGTCGTGTGGATTACTTGTGGATTATTGTGATGTTTTATCAGCTGTTTGGACTTTCATTCTGACAGCACCCATGCACTGCAGAGGATCCATTGGTGAGCAAGTGATGTAATGCTAAATTTCTCCAAATCTCTTCCAATGAAGAAATAAACTCATCAACATATTTGATGGGCTGAAGGTGAGTACATTTTCAGCAAATTTAAATTTTTCGGTGAACCCCTCCTTTAAAATTTTCTTCCTGCAAAATTTGTATACACTAAAAGGTTGATTTTTCCTTTGTAATAGTGTAGCTGTGTATAAAGCACACAATCCACGTTACCAACTTGAACTCATTGCGAAATTTGTGTGGGGAAATCCTCACCATCATGCAAAATTCCCGATCTTGTGAATTACTATTAAACTGATTGTAAATTTACCGGCAAAAAAGAACACTGGTAAATGCAACTGTTGAAAGTCTGACAGGAGACAGTTAATAGATGGATAAATAACATTTACCATGTATTTCGGTAAGTAGAATTTAGAATTAAAATTTAGAATTAAAAAACAATGATGTTCATCAGGGTGGACTAAGTTGCTAAAAAGTTGATAGATTCTGATATGTAAATATGTCCATGTGCTTGTTGATGATGAAAACTGTCTTTTTCAAAATTGACTAGTTGATGGGTTATTTTAAGATAGTCTTGACTAATCTGACAGATTTCTTAAACGTGCATTTACATAATATGCATCCTTGCATACAAAAACAGCCAGAAAAAGTGCAACCGTCAAAACAGTAAAACTACCAAAAAGAAAATACATGTTTAACACTAGAACCGCCACGGGGTAAATTTTACCCGTGGCTGTTTTTAAAACGTACATAAGATTTTTAATAAAACGTTCAAGTCTCCCAGTCACTGACTTTTACTAAAATTGTGTGATTTACTATCCCCTGTTGTTAAAAGCTGTTTAGATAAAACCAGATCAAAAACCTGGGCATTTATACCTGTAAGCGCCAGCGCGGGTCAAATTTACCCGCTATAATGCCTGTATATTTGCGCTGTCATTTTCGTGCCGCTTATGTTTTAACATAGTACATTGTTAGGCAACGCCTTCCTTTCACTCACTGAATTAGTTCTTCTTGTATAATTACAATTATAAAATTACAAATTAATAAGGTGAAGCTGCACTTGAATTTGTCATCGCATCATCCTATGCAATGTGGTGAATTAGGCCTATTATTGCTCATTATTGTCTATGGGCTATTTTAGTAATGTAAATAACAGGTTATCTTAATATATTGATTAATGACATTGTATTATAATATTACACCACCCAAATATGTATTTACTTCCTTCTAATTCTCGTTGTCAGTGCAGGCTTGTTTAGCTTAATATTGACCGTTATGAAAAGTGACCAGTGTAGCCTGCATAAAAAAGCCTTGAACATAAAACAACAGGACAAAAATATAGTTGATGACTAGACATAATCATTTCATGACTCTAGACACTTCTTTGTGAAGACAGTAGCATAATACAGTGAAATAATATGTTCTTTAGCCACTCAAAAACAGCCGTCATGTGCGTGGGTAAAATTTACCCACTGGCGCTTTAAGGTATACAGCGACCCCTGGCGGTTCTAGTGTTAAACTGGTCAACAACTAATTAAACAGTCTACTGTTGGATGGCTAATCAACCATCTTGACCTATCCCTAATCGGGACATCATTGATCCCTCACTGCATCATCCTTGTGCTGTATTATTGCATGTTACGAAGGAAAAAAAAATGTGTTCCACTTCTCATCTGCTTCTCATCAGCTCTGAGACAAGACTCTAAGGTCTTTGCTATGCACAAGCTTGACCAGACACACTGCAGAGTGCATTGCATCATCCTTTTGCCATTTGAAAACAAGCAAGATGACGCAACTGTCCATGGCGACCTAAGACAGTCTTCCCCAGTTCCCATGTATTTATGCAACTCTTGTCGAAGTATTGTAACATACGAGACCTGTGTGAGTCTGTATTAGCAGTACTGGTAAAGGTTACAGCAGGCCACGGGTTTACATTCAGATCATTTCCCTTTTTGATTGTAAACTCTTGGGGGCAGTCAGTTCAGATCTTGTTCTTCTTAACCACCTGGCCTGTATGTATATGTTACTGTTGGAAAAGTTCATGTCCAGCGGTGTCTGACATCAAAAACGAGCACATGCTTCCAGAACCGTCGTGTCTTGGCTCAAATGACTTTCAAGAGACCAGCCAAGGTGATGCTTAATACCTTGCTAATGGTAACCTTTCTGTTAACCTTTCCTAACATTTATGTAGGCCATTTTTGTTGGCTTTTTTTGGATCGGCATTAAATGCTTCTTCTGTTTGATGTGTTCTGTTCCATCTGATCAACAGGTTCTCACACAATCTGCCAAGTTTCACAGGTTTCCATAGAATTTGAATGCATGTCATTCACAAAGTTGTATATTTGCCTCTTGTGTGTGTTTTTTTTTTTTTAGAGCTCAACAAGGAGTTTACAAAAAAGTGCTGTATTGCCACTGAAAATTGTACCACTATTGATCTTGTACATGCATTTTTTGCACATTCTGATTTTTGACGATTTCTTGCTGGCTAACATAGATATGATTTTGCTGAAATTGCAAAAAAAGGCTCCCTAAAGCATCAGTAAGAATGTGTTGAAAAAAAAAGATAGATTACTTACAAATTGAATCTTATCTGTAACGTAGATTACTTACAAATTGTAGTGAAATTGTTACTGATTACAGATTACATGAAGAAATTTGTAGTTAATAACGTAATCTAGGTTACTTGTTTTAGATGTAATGTAACATATTGATATTAAAAAAGTAAAGAGAAGGAAAACATTTTCCTTTTTTTAGCCTATATTAGTATCATAAAATCCATTAAACATTACATTAAACCAGGGTATCCCAAACTCGGCTTAATATAAGAACTGCAGTGGGTTTGTGAGTTAATATAAAGTAGTGCTGTCAAACGATTAATCGCATCCAAAATAAAAGTTTTTGTTTACATAATACATGTATGTGTATTGTGTATATTTATTATGTATATATAAATACACATACAGTATATATTTAGAAAATATTTACATGTATATACATTTATATATTTATATTATTATATTTTATATTATATATATAAATATATTTAATATAAACATAATATATTTTTCTTAAATATTTACATGCATGTTTGTATTTATATATACATAATAAATATACACAGTATACATACATATAGTATGTAAACAAAAACTTTTATTTTGGATGTGATTAATCACGATTAATCATTTGACAGCACTAATATAAAGCTAACAATTAATTAAATCATAAAAATGTAAAATAAAAATTATTTAAACACTTAAAATTTAAATATTTGTTTACCTGCATGTCAGTGTGACCATCAAGTGACATTGAACTGTAAACATGCGAATGTGAAAAAGAATTATTGGAATCAATAAATTAAGAATGATTTACTGACACAGTGTAAGTATGCAATCAAGTAATCCATAAAAAAGCAACTGTAATCTGATTATGAGCCTATTTCTTGGAAATATACATTTAAATATACATATTTATATAAAAAATATAAAAATGAAAACTTGGTCATTTTTCTTCTGTTGGGGCCATTGAAAATGTTGTCAGGAAAAATCCAAATTGTCGTTGTTTATTGAATATTTTGCTTCAATTTGATCATGCTTTTAGCTACCAATAAAAGTATAGTACTCTTAGTACCAGCTCAATTAACCTTCATTTTACCATATTTAAATTCATTCTGCAGAAAATGTGAAAAAAAGGTTGCAGATTCAGTTTGATTGTGCTGATCAGTCGCTAAAACTCACATTTACTCCCTCCACAGACATTAAACCTGCTAATGTCTTCATCACAGCCACTGGAGTGGTGAAACTGGGCGACTTAGGCTTGGGACGCTTCTTCAGTTCCAAAACAACCGCAGCTCATTCTCTAGGTAAGCGCTCCTCCCTCCCACCTCCTTGTCTGATTCTTTCTGTCCTTCATGGAAAATGAGAAAATGAGTATTGAATGTGGCGGAAACGGCCTTTAATTACTCAGTAGGGCCCGGATGCGTTTCATTAGGGCTGGCTGCGAGCAGAACCATGTGTCTGTTATAAAAAAAGCGCCTTCCCGACGGCCCCTGGGGCCAGTTGAGAGCAGAGCGTGCCAGTGGCTGTATCCATTTCATTGAGCAGTTGGCCTTTCCTGTTGCCTTGACCCCATGACCCCGCTCCGCACATATGATGTCTGGAGGAGGACAGGATCTTGAATCCCTAACGATGCTAGGCTAGGACACCCTATGGTGACAGAGCAACTTTTGGCGAAGTTGCCCGAGGAGGTGCTGCTTTTAACACGCCTTATATTCGAGATGACCTGTTGTTTAAAATCTAATTTCAAGAGTATACAAATTTGTTAACAGCTTGTCTTCTGCTTTATAGCAGTTTGTATTGCCAAAAATATTATTTTCACCATCAAGATCAGATTGTTTGTGACATTTTAGTATTACAAGTATCGTAAGTCATATTTCTCTTGTCTGATCACATTTAGATTACCTTTATCATCATCTAACACTCAGTTATTCAGTTAATAATACTAACGATTTAATTACACTAAGAAATATAGTCTTTAGCAGATTTTAAGATGATGTTTTTCACTTTTTTAATTATTTATTTTTATTGTACATCTCAGTGTTATTTAGTATGATACTGTGCTTCATTACTGTGGACCCTTTTCACAAGACTGTAATGACGTGTTTCAGTGGTCATCAGCATCGTAAATCCTCCCCTATTTAGATTTGTATTTTTTTTTAATGTATGTACATTTATAACGCTATACTTTGTATTATATCACCTTTGCATCAAATTACTGCCGTTATCAGTCTCTCTCAATTTTTTTCCTTTGTTTGAAAGTCATGAAAACATTATCATTGAGTTTTTCTTTTGCTGTTTGAGCAACTGGGAATGAAAAAATATATTTGTGGTACTCCCATTCACTGCTCTCGAAGTTTACCCAACTATGACGACATCCGCTGCCGAGAAACCTGGAAATGTGAAAAAGGTCTATTTTGAATTAGTTTTTATTTTTATATTTTCCATCTACTTTTTAATCTTAATTAAAATTTTAGATATTTTGTTGCTTGATTATATATTTTTAAATATGCTAATAGTTTTTTATTTTATTTTGCTATATCAAGGTAAGCGAAAATAAAAAAGCTGAAATAAAGTAAAAAAAAAACAAAAAAGAGAGAGAGGAACCAAAATATGATAGAGACGCTCTAGCATTATGCCAGTGAGTTTTGGTCAGCCATCTGACTGCCTCACATTTTCCATATGAAGTGTGCAAACATACTTAAAATATTAATGTGGTAATTTTGATCTAATTACGATTGCAGGACTTCTATTTCTGCATTTACAATTATTAGCCTGTTGCTGACAGGTTACAGTAAACACAACACAATTAGCGCACAGGAGTAGATTATAATAACTACTGTCTTGTATTCAAGAGCTACAATATGAAACGGAATATAAATGGCATATAAATCCAGTATGTTTGTGAAATGTGCATCTGTGTGTAGGAGTATAACAGTATGTTTTATGTCAGCGCTTGATGAGTATGATGTCGACAAATAAAAAAAAAAATGTTTTACAAGTGTCTAGAAATAACCAAGTTCGCAGCATGTCTTGCATTGCAAGCTTCTAGCCTTCACCTCGACTGCAAGCAACACTGTGAAACACATGTAAACCTGAACTCACAGCGCCCTCTACAGGACGCTCCGCTCCCTCGTTCAGAAGTCTGGCTTTTCAGGATGAGCTACAATCTCCGCAAGGGCTTAATCAGGGCTGTCCTTAATCATGTCTTAATGGCGCCTGCGTCACCTGGGGACCGGAGGAGCCAGTGGATCCATACGACCACATCATCCATTCGCACCTGCTCTCGGGGCCGGTGCCACACGTTATCATTTACAGACTGCCATGTTAGGGATCCCTAACAAGGCTTTTTTAGGACCCTAACATGATTTATAACCGCTAATGCATCGGCGAATCGTACCACCTCAGTTGCACTTGTCTTTTGTAGAGTTATCTACCTAGCTACCTCCCTACCTACTTATTTATTTATCCGAGCGCCTGGAATTCTTCTCTCGGGATGTTTTAGTATTGACAGTAGGAATGTACAAACGAGCATAAAGACACCCAGGTAGGTACAGCACACATGCGAAAGAGAGTCTCCTGCGGTTCTCTGTCACCTGTCCCGTAGGCTCCGGCTCTCCATACAAAGGCTGAAGGTTGAGCCTTAGCAGGGTATGAAATTCATGAGTGTCTACATGGCAGGTTAAATTCACCCATGGGCAAAGAGACCTTCGATCTGTGTCTCCCTCAGGGAGGGCAGACCAAAGCTTCCCGTTCTCGCTCGCTCCTCACAGTCGCTCCCCCTCTCCGTTTCTCTCCCTGCATGGGGGCGGTTTGGGGTGGAGGGTGTAGGGTTGCTTCGGTACGGTTTGGGGGTTGACAGTTCAGCCTGTAATGAGACAAACCACCACGGTAGAACTCTGGGATGCGCGTTGGAAGGAGGTCCGGGAAGTGCCATTCCACGGCTGTCAATTCTTCTCTTAAGAAGCCGAGCCCTAGCCTTTTAACTCAGTCTCCGAGTGGCTCCGCAGCCCACAGATACAAACAAAGCGCAAGACTGAAAGAAAGGAAAGATAGCTCTTCTTTACGTTTCCCGCCAGAGGCTTCCTAGCCTTTAAATTAAGCAGGGTGGTGAGCTGAAAGAGAGGGGAAATCGGAACAAAAGAAAGTCGGGAAGAGTAATAACAATTAAAATAAGGGAAAGTGAGCTAATCCTGAACCTTCACGTTCTACTATTAACGTCAAGAGTGGTGCTAATTACTAGCGTCTCATCCAAGTAGGGCTGTGAATCTTTGGGTAGACAGCAAATGGATTCGATTCACGATTCATGGGTATTCGATTCAAGAATGATTTTTGCTAATTCAGAACGATTCGATTCACAATTAAATTCGATTTGATTCGATTAACGATTCGATTCTGCATTCTTTAAGTGCATTCACAGGATTATTTAAATGCTTCCCCTAAATTCTTTAAATGCTTAGTCAGGCGGCAAATTACACAGCAGCCTTTATGGTTAGAGAACCATAGGTTAGAGAGAAAAAAAACACTTTTGTCCATTGTTAGATGCTAGTTTAATGATGCTATGGCATATGTAGAAATGTATGTAAGCCAAGATTTTAAAAAAGAGTTTTAAAAGTATTATGTATAGGCCAACATTTCAGAAGTGACAGAAATGTCAAATACAATAATTGTATGTGTGTATGTTTTATTATATATATATATATTTTTTACAAGGAATTATTTTCTTATCTCTTACTTTGAATTTGCTATAAGTAATAAGCAAATACACTGCTGGACAATAATCAATCATTTGGAATCTATAATTTTTTCCTAATGGCAATTTTATGATTATTTTATATACTACAAACAATTATTTCAATTTTCTGCACAGAATAAGGTAGAAAATATACTTTATAGTTTCTGTACTCTAATAAATGATTTGTCAATTAGCACTGCATCATTCATGCATTTTATTTATTTTATTTTATTTTATTGTGTTTATTGTCTTAACGTTTCAGTTCATTCTGCTTTTTATTCAGCTTAGCTGCAGATATAGCCGTATTATGTGTCTTATGTTTTATGGGCGCGAGATCGCTTCTCTTTCAGTGTGAAAACTTCTTTATCTCATTTTCATAAAATAAAATGCTATAGTATTTAACTTTTCCTCTCCATCGGCGAATGATGATCCTGAAAGAAAACGCGCCTGATGTCTGTTTGCTAGCAACAAACGCTACTTTCATGCATCTGATTATCAGATAAACCTCGCGCTTTTATTTCAAGGTTGTTGTTAATGCTGCGGTTATTTTAACAGTTTCTTTCGTACATTCGGTTGAAGGACATTGTTAAAACACATTTATCATTCAATGGAACTGTGCGTATGCTTTAGGCGTTTACATTTTTGCTCCGTCCATGCAATAAATGCTCAGCCTTCGACTGCTCAGGTAATGTCGTCGGTATGACCGAGAGCCATTGAAAAACTACAGAAAAGTAAAACTACTTCACTTTAGCATTACTGGCCACGAGCACTAGGGAGAGATCACACATCAGCTGCTCAAAAAATCAGTGTCAGTCAGTGAGACGAACGGAGCGCGAGCGCAACCCTGTGACAATCACAGGCGGTAAAATGGAGCACGTGAAGGAGAGATGCGAGGGCACGAACACTGTTCAAGGTCTCCATTAATTCCTGCTTGTAGTAATTTAATATGTATATATTTTGAAAGCATTGAATCGCTATAGAAATCACGATTCATTCGATTCTTAGCGTTTTAAATCGATTACTGTCCGAAATCGACGATTCACGATTCAAAATCCATGTTTCAAGATCGATGCATATGCATCGTCAGGGTTTGTAATCGATGCATCGAGAAAATGAGTGAATCGTTACACCCCTACATCCAAGGGCTTTGAGCTAACTAGGAGAGCCGTTCTGACTCAGAGGTCTGAGGAGTTAACGGGACCGAATGGATTTTTCTTTTAATCCCTCACTTTGCGCAGTTAACACTTCATTTTTGTAATTAAGCATATTTGTGGATTTCCATGTAATTAGTGTACCGTTGAGAGTCAGCGGTAATATCTCTTCTTTCATTCAAAAAAGGATCTTGCCTGTTATTGAAAATGTATTTTAATGTCATAACAATTCATAATAATGGAATGAATCCCAACGCAACCTACGATTTATTTGCATGAATGAGTAATGCACACTTAATTTGACGTGCTGCTGGAGTAGTTGCTCTGTAGTGCTAGGCTTTTATGAAACTATTAGCATGAGAGGGCTTTTTCCATGCTTTTTTTAAGTTACATATGTGATGAAAGAGTCAGTTTCTATGTT